GGGGGGGAGGCCACCGGCCCCCCCTGACCCCCACCCCAGGGGAGGAGCAGAGTTTCCAGGTGCGGTTCCGGCGGGCGCCGGGGCACCCCGTGGACCTCTACTACCTGATGGATCTCTCCTACTCCATGAGGGACGACCTGGAGAACGTCCGCAAGCTGGGCAGCGACCTCCTGGCCGCCCTGCGCAACGTCACCTCCTCCGTCCGCATCGGTGGGGACACGCCGGGGGGAGATTTCGGGGTGCTCGGGTGCCCCCCCCCCTTTTTTTTTTCCCACACTCCTGCACCACCAACGCTTCGTTGGCCGCCAGGTTTCGGTTCTTTCGTGGACAAGACGGTGCTGCCCTACGTCAGCACGGTGCCCTCCAAACTGCGGAACCCCTGTCCCGAGCGGCAAGAACCTTGCGACCCCCCCGTCGCATTCCGCCACGTCCTCTCCCTCACCGCCGACGCCGGGGAATTCGCCGAACGCGTCAGCCGCCAGCGCATCTCCGGCAACCTGGACGCACCCGAGGGCGGCTTCGACGCCATCATGCAGGTGGCCGTCTGCGAGGTGGGCACGTGGGAGCGCGCGCGGGCGAGCCCATGTGCAAGGGGATCCGCGAGTGGACGCACGGGCGTTTCTGCGCGCAAGCGTGCGGGCGAGCGGGGCTGGGACGGTCGGCTGCGTGCAAGAGCGTCTGCGAGGGGGCCTGCCTGAAACCGCGCTTGCCTGCAAGCGTTGCCCGCGCACGGGAGCCTGCGTGCGAGCATTTCTGCGTGCAAGAGGGCGTGCAAGTCTGCGAGCGTGCCTGCGTGCAAGGGCGAGCGCGAGCGTGCCTGCCTGCAAGCGAGCCTGCATGCGTGGGTGCCTGCAAGAGCATGTGCAAGCATGCATGCCTGCCTGCATGGGTGCCTGCAAGAGCGTGTGCAAGCGTGCGTGCAAATATGCTTGCCTGCGAAAGCGTGTGCAAGCGTGCGTGCAAGCGTGCCTGCCTGCAAGCGAGCCTGCATGCGTGGGTGCCTGCAAGAGCATGTGCAAGTGTGCTTGCCTGCAAAAGCGTGTGCAAGAGTATGTGCGGGTGCGCCTGCCTGCAAGTGTGTGTGCAAGCGTTGCTGCATGCAAAAGCACATGCAAGAGCACGTGCAAGTG